CCGGATTCGGCCCGCGGGCCGTAGTTTGCCCACGGCTGGTCTATTCTGTGCACTCATGGTATTTAGCAGCACCTCTGGCCTCTATGAACTCAATGGCTATAGTCTCATCCCTAGTCATAACTATGAAAAATGTCTTTAGACCAGTGGTTCTCAATCTTCCTAATGCCGTGACCCTTTAATACAGTTCATCATGTTGTGGTAACCCCCTATTTCATTGTTACAAATTGAACATAATTAAAGCATAGGGATTAATCACAAAAACAATATGTAATTATATATGTGTTTTCCAATGGTCTTAGGTGAACCCTGTGAAAGGGTCATCCGACCCCCAAAGGGGTCATGACCCACAGGTTGAGAACCACTGCTTTAGTCATTGCCAAGTGCCCCTGTAGGGCAAGATGATCCCCAAGAATATGTTGAGATGGCTCAGAATTATATTTCTTTTGCTTACCCTTTTGCATTTGGGTTCTATAGTATTTTAATTATTAAGTAACAAAAATAGTGTTGCAACACTGTAATGTATCATATAGAGCTACATGTGTGGATACTTTTGATCAGTGTTTTAAGAGATGTATTGTGTTTACAAAGGCATAATAAAATTTCATCTTATAGATGATAGGCAAAAAAAAGCTAACAGTAAACACACACACACACACACACACACACACAGAACTTGTATCTTTAGAACAGTTTTAAAGACGCAAGATAATCAGCCTAATTAGTTTATCACCATACAGACTTACACTGTCCAATGCAGTAACTACTAGACACATGTGAATATTAAGAACATGATATGTGGTTAGTCCAAATTGAGATGTGATATAAGGATAAGTACACACTGGATTATGAAGACTTAGTGTAAAGAAGAATGTAAAATATCTCATTAATAATTTTACATTAGTTCCAGATTGTAATGATATAATGTTGGATATAATGAAGTGATGGTTTTAAATTTATGTGTCATCTTGGCTAAACTACTATGCCAAGTCATTTAAATGAAGACTACTCTTAAGAGTTGCTGCAAAGGTGTTTTGCAGATGTAATCAAAATCCCTAACCCATTGATGTTAACTAAGAAAATGATTCTGGATCATCTGGGTGGGCTTGTCTGATTCTATTGGGAGGCCTTGCAAACTGACCTGAGGCTTCTGAGGGAAAGAGAAGAAATTCTCTCTTTGGCTATGGTTTTGGTCCCTGCATGTGGGCTCACGTTTTCCCATGACCTTCCCTTCCTGACTTATATAGTCAGTCCCCACAATCACATAGGACAGCTCCTTATAATGAATGTCTCAATATAAAATATATTAGCAAAATTTCCTACTGGTTCTGCTTCTCTGGGTGAGCCCTGATATCCTGATTGGAGTAAATACATTATTAAAATTAATTTTTATAATTATTTTTACTTTTTTAATGTGGCTCCTTAAAATTTTTAAATTATATATGGGACTCACAATTTATTACTATTGGACGGCATTGGTCTAGTCCTATGCGTGGGCAAATGATCTTTTTTAAAATCTAAAGTCATCTACAGGGTTAAATATTTTACAAGTGAATTGAAAAACTAAACTTAGAATGTCCCCCTGCCAATACTATCCTGCTTCCTTCCTCCTATGCTAACCAACAAGGGCTGTGGAGAGGATTGGCTCCTTGTATAATTTAGGCCAAAAAAAAGCAGTATATTGTCAAAGACAAGAGTGCGTGGTCTTTGGACATGCTAAGGGAGTCACCTTAAGACAGCGATGGCAAACCTATGACACGCGTCAGAGGTGACACGCAAACTCATTTTTTTTGGTTGATTTTTCTTTGTTAAATGGCATTTAAATATATAAAATAAATATCACAAATATAAGTCTTTGTTTTACTATGGTTGCAAAGATCAAAAAATTCCTATATGTGACACGGCACCAGAGTTAAGTTAGGGTTTTTCAAAATGCTGACACGCCGAGCTCAAAAGGTTGGCCATCACTGCCTTAAGAGATGTTTTCTTACTCCATGTAGTGATGAATTTGAATACCGAAAAGGGATGAAATATTGTAAATTAAAATGTTACATGAAATACTACATTCATTGTGAAATGAGAGGCCTTAAAATGGTCATTTAGAATAATAGTTTTCCTTTAGAGGTAGGTGTGTGTGTGTGTGTGTGTGTGTGTGTGTTCCACACACATCTGTTGGCCCCTCAGAAGAATAAAAGAGAGATTCCGGAAATCACACAGGAGGATTAGACTTGAGTTAGAATCTCTGCAGGATTCGATGCTAAAGACATCTGCCTGGAAATCCTTCACAGACCCCCAGCCTGTCTTCTTCTGGGGAAATACACTGCTTAGACAGGGTGGTGCTCTAAGGGACTAGATCGGCTGTGTTGGTGCACAACGGTGTTTCCTGCAAGGTAGGTGGAAGCTTGTGCATGAGGAAACTCTATGGTTAATAGAGTAAACACAACCCAGTTGTGTAACTCAGACCAGTTTCAAAGATAAAGCCCCATTTATTTATTTATTTTTGTTGATGCTGCACTTCAGCCTAATCCAAACCAGGACAACCCAATGATCTGAGCTGATCCTGTCAGCGTTTTTGCAAGTAGGGGTTATAGATTCACACACACACACACACACACACACACACACACACACACACACCTCTACAGCTCAGAATGAGCAGAAATATGACAACTTATATGAGCATTTTTTTGCAGGAACATCACGAACTGATTTTTTTAAACTGATGTTCCTTTGAAGACCCTTAGTACTTCTATGGAGGCAAGTGTGGGCAAGCACAGCTAACCTTGTAAAGGCATACACACACCTACATTCGTTTCTCATAAAGTACAAAAGGAATTCATTTCTGATGATTCAAACTGAAGGATAAGTTAAATGCCTCTGCATCTTTTGTTGCCACATTGCATTTTCTCTGCGGATTGGATTCCATCACTAGTGTCACCCTCTGTGGCTATCGGATGACTGAAGAATCCAGAAAAGCCTCTACACAGTGTGCCAGTTCTCTCTCCACACACTTCAGCCAGGAAATGATGACCATCCAGGCACCTGTCCAAATGAGTACAACATGCTACCAATTTAGACTTCACAAGCAGCTGATGCCTGCTTTGTTACTCTCCATTGATCTTGTCAACTAAGAGCCATTTGTATACTAGTAAGAACACAAAATTAAATTTAAAAGATTTAAATTGGTAAAGTAGAAATTTATTGCTCTATGGTTTTCAGCAAACTTCAAAAAAAATAAAATTCCTTATATTATATTAA